GTCAGGAAAGAATGAGGGAGACGGCCACTGGGGCCCTGAGGAACCTGCGCTTGGCTTGAGTTGGGGGGGGGGGAGGGGGTGGAGCTGAAAGAAGGCCCCCGTGGCTGAAGTGCCACGGATGAGCTCAATTCGAAGTGATGGGGAAGAGTGGGGGCACCACGCTGTGTAGAGCAGTGTTGGCTCTGGATTTTATCCCAAGTGGAATGGTTAGTTGAGATTCTAGACCAGTGGTTCTCAACCTTCCGGCCCTTTAAATACAGTTCCTCATGTTGGGACCCAACCATAACATTATTTTCGTTGCTACTTCATAACTGTAATGTTGCTGCTGTTATGAATCATAATGTAAATATCTGATATGCAGATGGTCTTAGGCGACCCCTGTGAAAGGGTCGTTCGACCACCAAAGGGGTCTCGACCCACAGGTTGAGAACCGATGTTCTAGACCAAGAAATGACTTGATCTGATTTACATTTTTAAAAAATCAGTATGAGAAAGTGGTATTATAGAGGGGAAGGGATAGACATATGCTAGATGGGTTTATACTAGCCAGGATGGAAAGAGACAAATGGACTAGTATTTAGTTTTGGAGGCTGAACTTCTAGAACTTAGAGCTAAAACTAGCATTTACGTGGGGAACAGGAGTCGTCAAGGAGGAGTCCAAGGCACACATCTGGCAGTGCCGTGTTCAGAAATGGAAACATTCACAAGAAGGACACATTTGGGTGAAGGTGGGTACCGGGTGGCAAGACCAGAAGTCCAGTTTGACACACATTGAATATGAAATGCATGTGAGACGTCCAAGTGGGAGAGGCAAGAAGGTCTGCAGTTCAGAAGAGAGTGCTGAGCTGAGGGTATAACTTTAGAAACTGTAAGCATATAAGCATTGAAGATCATGGGAATCATGAGACCACTCAGTCAGAGAGGGGGGATGGGGAGGAAGAGAGAGAGTGGGGGAAGGAAGTGGAGAAATCAGGAATAAATGCTAAAAGGCTCCAACATTTGAGGTTGGGTAGAGGAAGAGCAGTCAACAAAGAAGCCTGAGAAGAAACAGCCAGAGGGGCTGGAACAAGCAGGAGTTTGGTATGAGACGCCTCAAGAAAAGTGTGTGATCGATAGTTTTCAAGGCCGAATGCTGTACATCTTCGGGTAAGAGGAGAGGCTGAAAGGACCAAGTACACTTGGTCTGTGGTGGTCACCGTTCACCCAATGAGTGGTTCTGGTGGGGAGGTGGGGCAGAGGAAATGGATGGGTTTTGGAAAAGAGGAAGGCAGTGTTTTCAGTAATAGAAGAAAGGGAGAGAAACAGTGTAGATTAGGGTGGTTGTGCGGCTCTGGTTATAGGAAGAGGAGACTTCCCGGTCAGCCATTAGTTCACTAGGGAAATAAAGGTGAGTAAGGTGCAGAATCATTCTGGATGTTCACTCAAGAAGTCAGGAAGAGAGAACCAAGTCCCATATTATCCACTTAGCATCAATTCTGTGACAGAGATAACTATAGGATACTAGGAGATTAAACTTGTAGAATGCCACCACCAGTGAACTGCTAAAAGTTATGTATATATAATGTAATACCTAGAACAAGTACTTAAAAAGCTAAACAAAGAGATACAATAAAAATAAAAAATACTATAGATAAATAAAAATGGAGTTCCCAAAATGTTCAAGAAACCTATAGGAAGCCAGGAAGAGGAACACAGAAAAAAGAAAAAAAAGAAAAGAAAAAGAACAAACAGAAAATAAAAATAAAGTGGCAGACTTCAGCACTAATGTATTAATAATTACATCAAATGCAATGGTCTAAATACATCAATTAAATGATAGGCATTGGCAAAGGGGATTAAAATATGACAACGATATGCTGTCTATAAGAAACTCATTTCAAATATAACGACATGAGTAGGTTGAAAGTAGAAGAATGGAATTAGTTCCATTACACAGACATTAATCAAAAGAAGGCAGCAGTGGTGGCATTGATGAAGTAGACCTCAGAACAAAGAAAATTACCCAAGAAAGAGGGGACATTCCAACAATAAAAGGGGCAATTAACCAAGAAGACACAGAAACGCAAAATGTTATGCACCAAATAACAGAGGTTCAAAATGTGTGAAGCAAAAGCTGATAGAATGGAAAAGAGAAACAGACAAATCCACAATTAACATCGGAGATTTCAACACTCCTCTTCCAACAATCGACAGAGTGACTAGACAGAAAGTTAGCGAGGATATAGAATAACTCGGCAACATCAACAGCAGGATATAATGGATATTTACAGAACACTCCACCTAACATCAGCAGATTAGATATTCCTTCAGGAGCCCACGAAACAGATACCAACACAGACCAGATCTTGGGCAGAAAATTACTCCATAAATTCACAAGAACTGAAATGACACAGCATGTGTTCTTTGACCACAATGGAACCAAACTAGAAATCAATACAAGTAAGATGACAGGAAATCTCTAAACACTTGGGAAATGAAACAATATGGTTCTAAATAATCCCCACGCCCAAGAGGAAGTCCCACTGAACTGAGTGACAATCGACAGAGTGACTAGACAGAAAGTCAGAGAGGATATAGAATAACTCGGCAACATCAACAGCAGGATATAATGGATATTTACAGAACACTCCACCTAACATCAGCAGATTAGATATTCTTTCAGATGTGAGCAGTCCTAGGCATACAGGAGAGGCTTTCTTGCAGACCAAGTAGCCATTGCTAATAAGGATCCATCTGATAAAACAGTCTTTAAAGCAGCCCTACAAAGCGGCCACATACAGGCTGGTCAACAATATCCTATATAATAAAAGGGTAATATGCAAATTGACCCTAACAGCGGAACAACCGGGAATGACTGGTCACTATGGTGCACACTGACCACCAGGGGGCAGACGCTCAACGCAGGAGCTACCCCTGGTGGTCAGTGCGCTCCCACAGGGGGAGCTATGCTCAGCCACAAGCTGGGCTGACGGCTGTGAGTGCAGCGGCGGTGGCGGGAGTCTCTCCCACCTCCTCAACAGCGCTAAGGATGTCTGACTGCAGCTTAGATCTGAGGCTTAGGCCACAGTTGTACATTCCCCGAGGGCTCCCAGGTTTCCAGAGGGATGTCTGACTGCCAGCTTAGGCCTGATCCCCTGGGGAGTGGGCCTAACCGTCAGGTGGACATCCCCCGAGGGGTCCTGGACTGTGAGAGGGCACAGGCCAGGCTGAGGGACTCCCCTCAGTGGACAAATTTTTGCGCACTGGGCCTCTAGTATCTTTATACTGACTTAGACAAAAGAGGCTTCTTGCCAAATAGTGACATCAACATTTGGGTTATAGAAAGGTACACCTGTGCATTGTGTACAGTAAAACTGCTGTGTCATTGCCTTTGCACATGCACAAGGCAAATTGGCCTTGACCATCCGGCGTACTCTGATTAGGGTTCCCACAGCAGTGATAAGAGTGCATATACAGCACTAAATGCTTATATTAGGAAAGAGGACAAATCTCAAATCAATAATCTCAGCTTCCTCAGGAGACTAGAAAAAAAAGAGTAAAGTGAACCCAAAGCAAGCAGTAGAAAAATAATAAAGGTAAGAAATCGATGAGATTGAAAACAGAAAAACTGATAGAGAGCATCAATGAAACAAACGTTTGAAAAGATCAATAAAATTGATAGACATCCAACAAGACTGACAAAGACAAAAATAAAGGTCAGTATCAAGAATAAAACATGGTATCACGATAGCTCAGATATCAACAGGACAATAAAGGGATACAATTGTACACACATGAGGTGTGCAGGAGGCAGCTGATCGATGTTTCTCTCTCATCGATGTTTCTAACTCTCTATCTCTCTCCCTTCCTCTCTGTAAAAAATCAATAAAATATATTTAAAAAAAAAATAAAAAAAATTGATAGACATCCAACAAGACTGACAAAGACAAAAATAAAGGTCAGTATCAAGAATAAAACATGGTATCACGATAGCTCAGATATCAACAGGACAATAAAGGGATACAATTGTACACACATGACAACTTAATGAAACGATGAAGTGATTATTTGGAGAGCACATAACCTACCCAATGTGAAAAAATCTGAATAACCCTTTAACTAGAAAGAAAATAGAATTCATAAGTTTTTAAAATCTCCAGGCCCACAAAGTTTCACTGAAGAATTCTGACAAACTTTTAAAGAGGAATTAACATCAATTTTATACAATCTCTTCAAAAATGGGGAAGAGATGGGGACACATCTCAGTTCATTTTACAAGCCATGTTGGCCTTCTGCCAAGACTAGACAAAGACGATACAAAGAAAGAAGCCTTAAGAACAATATCCCTCATGAACATAACAGACAGGTGTGAGGATGTGGAGCCACTGGAATTCTCTTCCGTTGCCAGTGGGAGTGTCAGCGGTGCAACCGCTTTGGAAAATGGTTTGGGACAACCTACTGGAGTCGAACGTGCACACACTCTATGGCCCAACTGCTCTCCAAGAGACCTGGACATGGGTAGTTCAGACGTAATGTGTGGTTTATGAACATTCATCAAGGTGTATTCTTAGGTTACATGTGCTTTTCTCCATGTGTGCTTCACTCAATTATAAGTTAACTAGAAAACAATAAAAAGCCTATTGGATCTGGTGACATGAAGATAGCAGGGAAGCACAGTTCTGAGGGAGTGGCGGGCTTTGGGGACCTCAAGTTAATTCCAATTTTACAAATAGTGTGACTGGAGCAAAGAGCAGTCCAGGCAGTGGGCCAAGGTTGCAGGATTACTGAGTCGGAGGGCAAGGGCTGGAACCCAGGGAGCGGGGATGCCGAGCCCGTGCTTACCCACCACCCTGCCTGTCTGCTTGTCCTTGAGGGCACCAAGGCAGTGAGGACAAAGCAAACACTGGACAGGAGCACTCACACGCACTAGGGCAGTGATGGCGAACCTTTTGAGCTCGGCGTGTTAGCATTTTGAAAAACCCTAACTTAACTCTGGTGCCATGTCACATATAGAAAATTTCTGATATCTGCAACCATAGTAAAACAAAGACTTATATTTTTGATATTTATTTTATATATTTAAATGCCATTTAACAAAGAAAAATCAACCAAAAAAATGAGTTCGCGTATCACCTCTGACACACGTGTCATAGGTTCGCCATCACTGCACTAGGGCCTGAGGCCCCTCCTGTAAGGGCCAGCAGGCACTGCAGCTTGATGCTCCTGTAGATGTCGCTTTATTGTGATGTCCAGGCTGTTGACCAATATTCACAGGACAACCAGGCATCATGGAAGAAAAGATGAAGCATTTTCGTTTACTATGTTTACCAAGACCGGGAAATGTACAATATATTTTTGAAATATTTGAGTTAAGGGACAAACTCTGAGTATGTCTGAAAGTCAACTGTGTTAACTGTCTAATCATCTCCCAATGCCAGAGCCACGCAGTATGTGCATGTGTGCCCAGGCTCCATCCATTCTTTCCGGCACAACCGTATTTTGGTCTTGGAGAGAAAAAAACACACCGTATCATTAGAGTTTTTGAGAAGCATGGAAATTACGATTTTGTAATTAGGCCAGGGTATAATTATAGGCTACAGCCAGATAATATAATTAGTGTTAGAGCAATCCCTGAAGCTACCACACACAACCACCGTGTGAAGCCTTAATTAAAAAGAGGAGATTACTGTATAAAAGTCATTCATTCTGCCAGCTGCTTTCATTGCAAAAGGTGGGAAGGTGCCCACACATAGGGACTACATGCAAGAATAAAGGATCTGACACTATAATCACAATACAATAATATCAGTGTCTACAAATGGAAAAGAAGTCACTAATAAAGCAAGATGAGTCAACTCAAAGTTCTTGCTGCCTTAGAGAACATCTTTGATAACTAGTTTTTTAGAATTGAGTTTGCAGTGGAAATATTTCCTGGAAATAACTCAGGAGATTCTTTCCGAATTAAAGAAGGCTTGCTGAATGAGATAGCCGGTAAATCCCTTCTCCAATATGAAGTTTACACCATCTCCATGCCTGATATGACTTAATCCCCAACACACCTATGTGGACTTCTCCCTGGGAAAACACACACACAGATGAAATCATTTGCTTATGGTCACACACATGAGGACCCAGACGAGAACTGTTCTCTAGGTCTAGCACAGTGGCTGTGTTATGGGCAGCTGACCGCCCTGGTGTCTCCACCTGGGACCAGTGAGCAGTCTCCAAGAACCCTGAGTGGTCCTCTGGGTTCAGTTAACCTCCCTCCACGTGGGGTTCCCTCCGCTTGCCAATCCAGTTTCAAGATGCACCGAGTTCAATCTCACGCCAAGTTGCTTCTTTGGTGCCTCACCACCTCTCACCAGGTGAGCAGACGCTTCGCTCGCTGCTCTCCTAGCCACACTGCTCAGCCGCTCTTCCTGGAAGTTTCCCTTCACTTTCCTCTCACCTCTGCACACTCTCTGTGCATTGTTCCCATCCGCAGGTCTAGACAGCGCCTGCGCCTGGACCGCGGTACCTTTATGTAAAATTTCCTCTCCCAAGAGCGACTGAACGGCACACGTGGCTTGTAGTGCACGTAAAAAAGACTTAGAAAAACCTCTCCGAGTCGTTCTTAGACCTCCCACATTTATCCACACTGACAAAATGCGGCACAGGTAACAAGAAAAAGGAAACTGTGTAGGGAAATCTGTCTTTAGTGTTTCCAAACATGCCTTAAAACGCAGGCATTGCCTGGAGCGCAGAGGTGAAAGTGATGAATGTTGAGTGGGTATTTTTTCACTTTAACTCACTGATCAGAAGAGTATTTACAAAGCCCCGACTAATGTCTGGAGCTGATAAATCAACACCAAAGAGAACATTTCAAGCACATTTATCATTTAAGACAAACGGGCTATTCTGAGCATGAAGCTTTCTTATTCATCATTGTAGCTCACCTCTGCGCTTGCGTCTTCTCAATGTTAATAACATCTGCATAAGACTCCTCAATATTTAATGTGGACAGCTTGCCTGTTGCATGCCGATGAGGTTAGGATCACGCCTGATCGCCAGCAGGCCAGTCAGCTTTCCAGAAAAAGAGGCTTCCCCTCTGAAGCCTGACCCCAGCCAGCTTCCTTATAAATAGCTGCTGTTGGTTTCAATGCCATAAAAAGCACAAAATTACTGTTTTAAGGGAAATTAAGGTCAAGATATTTTAACAGACTTTCCCAACGGCACCAACCGTTGTCATTAGCAAAGGACGCCCAGCATCGTGGGCCCCATGTTTCAGCATTTGTATGACTCAGCTAACGTCCGGACCGTCTGCCAGGTCGGCATCATTGTGCCACGCCCAAACAGCACAGAGCCCAAGGGGACTTACCTGTTCACCCTCCTCTTCATCACTGCTTAGCTTGAGGTCATCTTCTAGCATTCTGGAAGAGGGAACAGAGAGGTACCGATGCTTAGCAAATTCAAATAATTCTCAACAAAATATCTGAATTCGAGCAACGTTTCAGTCATAAGCCTGTTTGATGTACTGATTTGGAAAAGTGTTCGTTTGAAGCCCTTTTCCTGTGCTGCACCTAGAAGCAACACACGGCCACGTCATGAAAATTACCCCCCACAGCAGTCACAGCATGAGATGGGGTGCTTCCAGAACGTGAGGCGCGTTTCCTGCGAAGGTTTTCCGCGTGGCAGCGGCTGTGCTCCGTGTCCACCGCCACTCACGGGAACAGGACCAGAGGGCCAAGGGGAACGCTGTGGAGGCTAGAAAACAACACGCTAGAGCAGCGGTTCTCAACCTGTGGGTCCCGACCCCTTTGGCGGTCGAACAACCCTTTCACAGGGGTCGCCTAAGACCATCCTGCATATTAGATATTTACATTACAATTCATAACAGTAGCAACATTACAGTTATGAAGTAGCAACGAAAATAATGTTATGGTTGGGTCCCAACATGAGGAACTGTATTTAAAGGGCCGGAAGGTTGAGAACCACTGCGCTAGAGGGTGAGCCACGCTGCTCGGGGCTCCCACCCACAGAGACCTGGACACACCTGCCGCAGACCCTGCCGGACAAGGAGAAGCAGAGGGAACCTTCCGGAAAGACTCCGAAGGCAACTCCCCCGCGCCGCAGATCTGTATGACAGCGCACTCTTGGGTCCATAAAAGTTAAGGGTAAAACAAAAGACAAAAGACACTTCAGGCCCTGTGATTTCTGATGATGATAAAATGATATTCTTATCAGCACCGCTGAATTGTTTCTTTACAGAGTATTAGTTTTCGGATTAAGTCATGTCAAAAGAAATCTCACTTAGGAGTGTGCTCCACAGCAGAAATGCACGCAGGCTGGGGCACCAGGGACGGGTCTGAAGGCGCTGGGCCCCTGCGCTCCAAAGGCCTCCCTCTCCTCAGTCACCTTCCAAAGACGGTCCCTTAGAGTGTGCCTCGATCCCGTTAAAAGCCCATCATCAGTATATTCCTCTGAATATTTTAATAAGTCATCTCGGTGACTTTTGGGGTGAACCTGGGAGAAAGACCTGCCAGGATGGGTCACGGGCAGAGTTCTGCCCCAAGGCTTCATGCTTAGGGCAGGTCACTTAACTCCCCTGTTTATAAAACGAGGTGATTCCTGGCAATCTCTAAGGTCCAATCCGCTTTAGATTCCATAAGTCTAGGAAATAAATCTGCCCCTCTTTTGGAAAGTAGGAAAACTCTTGTATTGTCCTTGAGATGACCACCGAGGAATTGCTAAGCAACTGTGGCGTACCATTGAAGCCACAGCCGCTGGGACGCCACGTCCACGTCCTCACAGGCTGCGGCTACGCTGCCTGCCAGTAGTGAGAAGTCTCATTCGCTCATTATTTAAACCTCAAGCAAACAAACAAAACAGCAGCAAAGACTGTAGAGCAAAGACTGTGCCCCCAACTGCTCTTTATGTCCGTCTGGCATGCCATTCATTTCCCTTGATCTCAGGAACTCGTACCCCCGGCTTCCAAGAGGAGACGTGGTGGAGAATTATTAGAGCCATTGTA